TAACGCTGTAGGAGTAGTTAGTTGAAGAGATTCGATATTTAAATTTTTTTTTTAACCGTTTAAAATATCGGGAGCGGTTATTGACAGGAAGTTAGTTAATTGCAGAAAGAAAAATCAAATTATTTGCGATCTTTGCTCGCACAGGAAAAATAGTTTAAAAAAACAAAAAACAAAAAACTGGTTTTTTAAACGTGAAATTTATTTTTATTTAAAAAAAAGGAAGGAGGAAGGTGAACGCTCTTAATAATAATTTTTAAGGTTTTAATTTTGTTTTTTTTTTCTTTTTTTTTTCCTTATAGATGCCACAACGGATGGCAGGGAAAATTCTGTAACGAATGCGAACGTTATCCCGGATGCCTTCACGGTACGTGTCAGAAACAATGGGATTGCAATTGCGAAGAAGGTTGGGGTGGTTTGTTTTGCAATCAGGATCTTAATTATTGCACAAATCATAAACCTTGCAAAAACGGTGGAACTTGTTTCAACACCGGTGAAGGATCGTATACTTGTAGTTGCGAACCCGGATTCACCGGAAGGGATTGCGAACACATGTTGGACAGTTGCACGACTCATCAAAATCCATGTCAGAACGGTGGAAAATGTAACGATTTGGGAAAGGGTTACACTTGCGATTGTCCGAAAGGTTTCCACGGTAATCATTGCGAAATCGTGACGGTGACGTGCAAGGATACGACTTGTCTCAACGGAGGAACTTGCGTCGATACGGCTCAAGGTTTTCAATGTCGTTGCACGTCAGCATTTACCGGAATCAAATGTCAAACGGAAATAGACGACTGCAATCCAAATCCTTGCATGAACGGAGGAACTTGTTCCGATCAGTTGAACGGATTCTTATGCACTTGTCCGAACGGATTCAAAGGGCCCAAATGTGAAATAAACGTTGATGATTGCGTGAACGTGATTTGCCTCAACGGTGGAACATGCGTGGACTTGGTCGGTGGATATAGATGTCAGTGCGTTCCTGGTTATTTAGGTCCCAAATGTGAAAGTCGAGTGGATTATTGCGTTGCAAAGCCTTGCGCCAACGGTGCCACGTGTAAAAACCTAGTGAACGATTACCAGTGCATGTGTCGTCCGGGATTCAAAGGAAAAGACTGCAGTAAAGAAATAGACGAGTGTATATCGTCCCCTTGTAAAAACGGGGGAACCTGCATAAATCGAGTGAACAGTTTCGAGTGCGAGTGCCCGAACGGTTATAAAGGGCGTTTTTGCGAAAAAGACGTGACCGATAGTGGTGGTAGTGATTATAATAATAATAATATTAATAATAATAATAATAATTTAAATATGTACTGGCGGACAGGAAATATGTCTAAGCACACGTTGGAAAGAGCCGAGGATTCGGGTCTTTCGACGGAGCACGTCGTCGTGATCGCCACACTTTCCACAGCAGTTCCTGTCCTCGTTCTAGTCAGTGCAGTAGTGGTTATGTGTATGAAACAACGGCAAAAAAGAGAACAGCAAAAAGCAGACGAAGAAGCTCGTTTGCAAAACGAACAAAATACGGTTCATAGTTCGATGAGCAAAAGAAACATGGTCGGAGGAGCCGGTGATGCTCACATGATAAAAAACACTTGGGGGAAAAGTGTGAACAACGTTTTGGCCGCATCTCAGGTCGCGGCGGAAGATCGCGTCGGAGCGAACATAATTAGTGTTAGTGAAAATGTTGCCAATAGTGAACTGTGCTACGCCAAGGGGGGTGAACCCGTGTACCCCTTGTCGAGGACTCGGTCGTCTCAAAAACAACTTAACACGGACACCGCGTTCAACAGACAATCTCAAAGAGCTTCAGCTCTACTAGTTGATAAATATACGGATTCATCCGCGCATCGACACGGAGCTCAACGAGCTTCGACGACGCTCACGACGAGTTCGAAATCCGAAAAAGACTTGGATAGTCTCTGTAGTCCCGGGATGCGTCCTGACCAAAGGATATCAGTTCTTTCAATAGACTCATCACTCTACAATTCGAGGTAATTATCATTATCATCACACATTTACCACCTCCCCATCCCTACCCCTCTACTCCTATCATTCCCATTCGTTTCTTTATTTTTCACGACTACTAAACGTTTTCGTTTTTTCAATTTTTTCGTTACAGTGAAACACAATTAGTCAAAAGGCCCTTTGATAAAGGAAGTCAAAGTACAGTGAGCAGCAGCACGACGACGCCCAACAGCGTGTACGTGATAGGAGGACCGGGTACGTTGGCTACCGAAGTCTTAAAAAAAAAAAAAATAATTTTTTTTTTTTTTTTTCAATTAATTACATGTAGATAGTATGTGTTGTGATCTCGAACGACTGATGCGATCCGGTTTCCGGGTTTTTTTTTTCCAGTACTTTTTTTTTGTTATTATTATTATTATTATGAACACAACGGAGGCCTCGTATTTTCCCCCGACTGAATTTTTTTTTTTTTTTATAACATAAATAAGATGTGCCTCGAAAAATTAAAAAAAAATTATTATTATTATTATTA